CCTCACTGGGAACAAGGAAGGACATGGCAACCCTAGTGTGATGAGAATACCAAGGCAAGCTTGGAAGCACTGTGATCTGCCCAGCCATCGGCAAAATTCTGGGGAGACTCAAAGAAGGGTCATATTTTTAAAAGCTGTTTATGCACATCAGCTTAACATTTCAATAAGCCTAACTCTAAATCTTTTCTGGGTTTTTCCTTTTGGGTACATTGTGGCAAAACAGAAAAAGTCTAATACTGTGATAGACATAGGTTTTCCTTAGATACATTTGGTCTTACATCATGCACAGTCATGCTGCACTAATGAAAAGTACTACGAAACGTGGAGTGATTTCAGCAAAGTACTTTTATTAGCAGGAACAAGACAAAGACTTCCGGCTCGCAGGCTGGTATATATGGCCAGAAAACCTACCACCAAAAACACACCCTCTACTTCCTATAGGCTATTTACAGTAGCCGAGAGTCCCATAGGCTCTCGGCTGCGGACCTGGCCCTCTGATAGGTGCGGGCTAGGATCCGCTTGGCTATTGTTCTCCCTGAGTGAAGCTTCAGGGCTTTGCTTGACCACATGGCCCAACGGTCGCGCACGTGGTAATGGCGGAGTACATTACAACTAATTATCTAATTAAGTTAGTTACAAAAACAAAAGAAATAATACAGCAAAGGGAAAAGACTTCAGCAGCACTTGGCAGTTAAGTGAGGAGAACTCCTGGGAGCAAGTTGCCAGGAACAGAACATAAATTAAGCTCTGCATTCCTTATTGTGATTTGACAGAAATTAGCAGAGTACATTGCAGTAAGCCATCCGTGGAATGTCCTGGTCAAGTGGATGCATGAATTTAAACAGCTGAAGAAGGAACTGGATCACACCTTCTCTCATTTGCCTCAGATCTTAATTAATGTTATTTATTCACTGGTCCACATCCACATCAAGAATGCAGTAATCATACTTGAGCACAGAACTTCAGCAGAAATGGAGACAGGGAACCTAAGAGGAAAAGGTCTGGAGAAGAAATAGGACTCCACGGTATTCAATAATGTTTGGTATTGGAAAATCAGTGTGTGAGTATATAATGATTGAAGCACAGTTTCAAAGGTACTTCTTCAATCTTCGACAATGTTTTACTACGTTATCCAGAAGTGTTTCATTAATCAGAAATCCTTTTTATTTAAAAAAAAAAAATTAAAATCACATTACAGTGTTACAAGAATTGCTCTTGGAGCCATGGTGCCAGAGTTTCTATATGCATTCATAGAGGAGCCATGTCTGTTTCAGGTGGATAGCCATGTTGATCTGAAGCAATAAAACAAAATTTTGAGTCCAGTGGCACCTTGAAGTCCAACAAAGTTTAATTATGGGTACAAGCTTTCGTGTGCATCCACATTTTGTCTTCCAGAAATGGAAAGAGGCAAAGGGCACTCAAAAGAGACATGTTTATTTAGTATAAAATGGGCTGCCTAAAGAAAAGTGGAGAGATGGAGCATATTCAAAACTTCATAGCTGGATAGCAAAGTATACCCTAAGGCAGTGGTTGTTGCCATCTTAAGAGGTAAAACGAAGAATATAAAATATTATTTTTCTTCTTGGACTAAAAAGAATGGAAAGTTATATGGTATGAGATTTCTTAGTTGGTGAAAGATGGACTTTGGGAATGAACTTTGGTTCTCAATGATGCCTGAATCTGAATTGTTGGGCGAAAGAGCGCTTTTAATATCATTGGGTCTAAGGACCACTGGAGCTGGGGAAAAGACTGGAGAGGCTTTACTGGATGTGGGGAACCAGACTGAGTCAAAATTCAGAAGACAAAGGCATAGGGTGTCTAGTGGTGACATGATTAAAGTCCAGCTTCTCTGGGAGATCCAGGATACCTGCTTTCATTTGCGGTGAAAATGATCATTTGGAAGCCCTAAGAGGGGAATGCAGCATTCATGGAATTCATGGAAGCAGCCAGGTAGAGTTAAGGTAATTCTCAGGCATTTAAGAAAGGCCTTAGCAACAGGGCCCTAAGGCTCTCTAGGGCTGTGTCGGCATATAATTTCCACACACAGTATGGGTAATTTTAACTATTTACTGAAAAACGAATCCAAAAAAGAGGGATCCTAGTGGCCAGTTTCCCTTGTCCAGTCTGTCAGGAATATAGGACTTCAAGGGAGGGGACTCCCAAGGAACTCATCACATGTGGGGTGGGAGTTATTGTCAATGTAACAACAGCCTTTACATGTGGAAATGGATAAGGTATCAGGGAACTGTCCTTTGGCCTTTCTTATGCATGCAGAAGTTGGATATGAGTCCTTCTATGACGTTTGGTATAGTTCCAGGTCAGGTTTCCAGAGTCTATGGACAGCAAACTTACATGTGTAGAGTAGGATTGGGGACAGCCATTTGCCATGTTGATCACCCATGCAGTTTGGCCATACGCAAACTATCCCATTCTTTGCTTATTCAAGGTTAGCTAAAAGGATGAGATGGTCAAACAATGAATCCCAAGTAACCATTCACTTATGTTAATTTATTAACAGTGCAATCGGAAGAACACTTCACTGAGAGAAAGCACTATTGAAGAGACCAGAGTAGGCTTCTGAGGAGACCGGCTGAGAATTGTTCTCTAAAACATTTCCGCCACTCAGTCCTACAGGAAACCTGCAACTGGATACTGAGAGCAAAATGCCCAATCTTACCTCCACATCTGAATTCTTGCTCCTGGAATTTTCAGATATCCAAGAACTACAGATCTTATATTTCTTTGTGTTCTTAGCAGTATATGTGACTGCAGTGACTGGTAATCTTCTCATTATCATTGCTGTAGTGCTTGATCATCATCTGCACACCCCCATGTACTTCTTCCTCATGAACCTGGCTGTCCTGGATCTTGGCATAGTTTCCATCATGGTACCCAAAGCGATGGCCAATTCCCTCCTGAACACCAGGTCCATTTCTTATTCTGGATGTGTGGCTCAAGTATTTTTCTACTTATTATTCGCAGGGTCAGATTTAGCCATCCTAACAATAATGGCACATGATCGGTATGTTGCTATCTGCAATCCATTGCAATACGAGACAGTTATGCATAATAGAGCCTGCATTCAGATGGCTGTAAGTGCATGGTTTACCGGGATAATTTCTGCCACATTGCACACCACTAGCACTTTTGCCATTGCTTTCTGCTCCAATAGGATCAATCAATTTTTCTGTGAAATTCCACAGTTATTAAAACTAGCTTGCTCGGATTTATATCTAGTTGAAGTGGGACTTCTTATATTTACCTGTAGCTTAGGTGGAGGATGTTTTGTCTACATCATTATAACTTACATAAAGATTTTTGCAGCAGTACTCAGGATGCCTTCTGTGCATGGGCAGAAAAAAGCGCTCTCCACTTGCATTCCTCACCTTACTGTGGTGTCTCTGCTTGTATTTAGTGGGATCTTTGCCTATGCAAGGCCTCCTGGTAACACTTCTTCTGAGCTGAATGTAATTTATGCTATGATTTATGCTGTATTATCTCCTTTGCTGAATCCATTCATCTATGGCATGAGAAACAAAGAAATCAAGGCTGCATTGTTTAAACTTACTGAATTTGGACATTTTCCGAAAACCAGCTCCAGCAAAATTCATCTAGTAAAATGGGGCTGAATGGTCTTCTCTAGATGATTTTCTTTATTGGCTTTGTACCTTGTGGTCTACACAATATAATATATAGGAAACAATTATTTGGATTCTGTGAAGTATGAGCAGAAGATGGTGGGACAGTGAGAGGTTTTTTACTTTCCTCTTCTCCCAGTACCCAACTGAGAAGACTGAAAATGTGATGCTGAGGGGTTAGAGGTCTCTCATGGAAGAAAAACCATTTAAAACAGATTCCTGAAATTAGGAGGAGGAAGACATCAAAACTCTTCCCTCTGTCAATGATGCCATGAGGTCTTCTAGCTGTCTTGTCATCTCAGATGGGTGGCAGCTCCTCGAGGTGTCAAGCTGAGGACTTTCACATCACCTACCACCTGATCCAACTGTGATGCCAGAGAGCCAGTTTGGTGTAGTGTTTAGGACCGTGGACTGGTGGGAGAACCAGGTTTGATTCCCCACTCCTTCCCCACTTCTTCCTACTTCACCCCACTCCTCCACATGCAGCTCCAAGGCTTTCCAGGCTGTTTTTGGTACTGTTGAGAAATGGACTAATTTATGGTTTTATATCTGCTTACACAAACAACACATGGACTGTGCACACACCTGTATACCATAGGCCTAGAGGAAGCTGTTTGCATCACCTACTGTGAGAGATTTCACATAGGGAACACTTGACTGCATTTCATGTTAATGTAGTTTGCACACATTCAGCTCAAAGCTTTATGGGAAGAAGAAGCACATGTTAGCCATTGTGGGCAGAGGCAACAACCAAGAAGAAGAAATTCCCCCATTGCTGAGGAGACTAGATGTCACACAGAACATGGACCTGATCTGCATCTGAATTGCCATTTCCTGTTGATGGTGTCTAGTCCGCCTGGTAAAGACAAGATTCATCTGCACATCAAGGAGGGCACAGGAAGCCAAGACTTCACACCTGGCCAGATGGTGTTCCATGAGATAGAGTGTAGAGTTTCAAATATTGCCCAACTCATAGAATACCTGTCCCTTTCTACATGCACCAATGAGGGAGGTCATGTGATGGACTTGTAAGTAGGTGGGATTACAGTTTGGCAAGGTGCCACCCACCTGGAGATTCAACTATAAAAGTAAAGACCAAACTTTAGGTCTTTGCTAGCCACATCCCTTCTCAACGTCCTCTGTCTTCTTTTCTACCCCTAAAGTCCAGCTCTCTATCAAAAAATCCTTTTGTTATCTTCAAGATTTCTTGGACTGCAGCCAAAGAGGTCCATACTTTGCTGGCTGGTTCTAGCAAGTGTGATTTAGTAAACACCCTTAGGTATTACTTTCTTCCCCTATCTTAGACTGCATCAGACAAGACTTCAGGAACAGGCAAGTATAAACCAATACCTACCTACCTCCAAGTAAATGAGAAACTATCTTGATATCTTTCTGTAACTTTAAAGGAACCTTGATTGTATGCGAATGTGAGACTGATTTTGAGTGTATGTGATTTTGATATTGCTCAGTAAAAAGACAATTTGTTTTGGAAAAACATCAGTCTCGTCTCCATCACTAGTGTTCTCTGGGGCTGGCAGAACCTTCGTAAACTTTGGCAAGGACTCATGTTAAATTTAGTTAGTCATCTGCTGTAAATAAAGTGATTGGTGTAACAGTACATTGTTTCCCTGTACAATATGGCTAATTTAACTCCTTACAGGTAAAGAATGTACTCCAAAATAGTGGACCGAAGTGGCCAGTTTCCCTCATCTAGTCTGTCAGGGTTACAGGACTCCATGGATGGGGGCCTCCCAAGTAACTCACCCCTTTGGGGGCAGTATTGTCTGTGCAACATCAGCTGTTATGTGTGAGGCTAAAGCATGGATAAGGGAACAGGAAACTGTCCACTGCCTCTTTCTCAATTTTCATTGTGTAATTTACAAAATCAACATATGCAAAAGTTCAATAAATTTAAAGACCCTCTCTGACATTCAGTTGAGTTCAAGATCAAGCATTCAGAGTCTATGTGCATGGAAGCTGTACAAGCTTAGATCTGGGCAAATGAATATGTGGAGGTTGGGACAGCCAGTGAGATGCTGATTGTCCATCCAGTTTGTCCATGTGAAAACTGTCCCATTCGTTGTTCATTCCAAACAAGGTTAGCTACTGGAATGAGATGGTCAAACAAGGAATCCTGACTAACCATTAATGGATATTAGTAGGTTCACAGTACAATCAGAAGAATACTACCCTGAGAGAAAGCCCCATTGAATAGACCAGAGCAGGAGTCCGAGGAGACATGCTGAGGATTGTTCTCTAAAATATTTCCTCCACTCAACCAATGCACCAAATAAAATATAAATAAAATAAAGAGCCAGTTTGGTGTAGTGGTTAAGTGTGCGGACTCTAATCTGGGAGAAAAGGTTTGATTCCCCACTCCTCCACTTGGACCTGCTGATGTGACCTTGGGTCAGTCACAAGCTCTGGCACAGCTGTTCCTGAAAGAACATAAGAACATAAGAGATGCCAATGTTGGATCAGGCCAAAGACCCATCCAGTCCAACACTCTGTATCACACAGTGGCCAGAAATACCAGTGCCATCAGGAGGTCCACCAGTGGGGCCAGGACATTAGAAGCCCTCCCACTGTTGACCCCCCCCAAGCACCAAGATGACAGAGCATCACTTGCCCCAGAGTCCCTATCTATACCTTGTGGCTAATAGCCACTGATGGACCTCTGCTCCATATGCTTATCTAATTCCCTTTTGAAGCCGTCCATGCTTGTAGCTGCCACCACTTCCTGTGGCAGTGAATTCCAAGTGTTAATCACTCTTTGGGTGAAGAAGTACTTCCTTTTATCCGTTCTAACCCGACCGCTCAGCAATTTCATGGAGTGCCCACGGGTTCTTGTATTGTGAGAAAGGGAGAAAAGTACCTCTTTCTCTACCTGCTCTTTCCCATGCATAATCTTATAAACCTCAATCATGTCACCCCTCAGTCGTCGTTTCTCCAAGCTAAAGAGCCCTAAGCGCCTTAACCGTTCCTCATAGGGAAAGTGTTCCAACCCTTTTATCATTCGAGTTGCTCTTTTCTGCACTTTTTCCAAAGCTATAATATCCTTTTTAAGGTGTGGTGACCAGAATTGCACACAGTATTCCAGATGAGGTCGCACCATTGATTTATATAGCGGCATTATGATATTGGCTGATCTGTTTACAATACCCTTCCTAATAATCCCCAGCATAGCATTGGCCTTCTTTATTGCAGTCACACACTGTCTCGACATTTTCAGTGAGTTATCTACTACAACTCCAAGATCTCTCTCTTGATCTGTCTCTGCCAGTTCAGACCCCATCAACGTGTATTTATAGTTAGGATTTTTGGCTCCAATGTGCATCACCTTGCACTTGGCCACATTGAACCCCATTTGCCATGTTGACGCCCACTCGCCCAACTTTGACAGATCCCTTTGGAGTGCCTCACAATCCTCACTGGTTTTCACCACCCTGAACAACTTCGTATCATCCGCAAATTTAGCCACTTCACTGCTTACTCCCAACTCCAAATCATTAATGAACAAGTTAAAAAGCAGTGGACCAAGTACTGATCCCTGTGGTACCCCACTGCTTACACCCCTCCACTGGGAGAACTGCCCATTTATACTCACTCTCTGTTTTCTATTAATTAGCCAGTTTTTGATCCATAAAAGGACTTGTCCTTTTATCCCATGATTTTTGAGCTTGCTTAGGAGCCTTTGATGAGGAACTTTATCAAAAGCTTTCTGGAAGTCAAGGTAAACAATATCTATTGGATCCCCCTTGTCCACATGTTTGTTCACCCCCTCAAAGAACATTAACAGGTTAGTGAGACAAGATCTTCCCTTACAGAACCCATGTTGAGTCTGCCTCAATAGGTTTTGTTCATCTATGTGCCTACTAATTCTTTCCTTAATAATGGTTTCCACCAATTTACCCGGTATCGACGTCAGACTGACAGGCCTGTAATTTCCCGGATCTCCTCTGGAACCCTTTTTAAAGATGGGAGTGACATTAGCTACCTTCCAGTCCTCAGGAATGGAGGCTGATTTTAAGGAGAGATTACATATTTTTGTCAGGAGATCCACAAGTTCACAATTGAGTTCTTTCAGAACTCTTGGATGTATGCCATCTGGGCCTGGTGATTTATCAGTTTTTAAGTTGTTTATCAGTTTTAGGACCTCCTCTCTCGTCACCTCAATCTGACTCAGGTCTTTCAACACCCCTCCCGAACTCAGCGGCTCTGGAGTGGGCAAGCACCTCTCATCTTCCACAGTGAAGACGGAGGCAAAAAATGCATTTAGCTTCTCAGCCATTTCCCTATCATCCTTCAGTACTCCTTTTACCCCTTGGTCATCCAAGGGCCCCACTGCCTCCCTGGCTGGTTTCCTGTTTCTAATGTATTTGAAGAAAGTTTTATTGTTGGTTTTTACGTTTTTTGCTATATGCTCCTCATATTCCCTTTTTGCCTGCCTGACCACAGACTTGCATTTTATTTGCCATAGCCTGTGTTCTGTTTTATCAGCCTCACTGTGACTAGCTTTCCACCGCTTAAAGGAATCCTTTTTACCTTTTACAGCTTCCATTACTTTGTTTGTTAACCATGTAGGCTTTTTCTTATACCTGTTTGTGCCTTTCCTAACCTGCGGAATATATTTTATTTGAGCTTCTAGAATTGTAGTTTTAAACAGTTTCCAAGCTTCCCCAATGGTTTTGACCCTTTCTACTTTTCCCTTCAGTTTCCTCCCCACATGTCCCCTCATATCAGAAAAATTACCCCTTTTAAAGTTAAAAGTGGTTGTGTGAGTCTTTTTGGCCAATTCCCTATTTGTACAAATGTTGAACTCAACAACATTATGATCACTGTTCCCAAGCGGTGCAATCACTTTTACATCTCTCACCAGGTCTTGAGTGTTACTTAGGACCAAATCAAGGATCGCCTCTCCCCTGGTAGGTTCCATGACCATCTGCTCCATAGCACAGTCATTTAGATTGTCTAGAAACTCAATCTCTTTC